AGGGGAGGGGCTTGGCTGGCTCAGTTGGTGGAGGGTGTGACTCTTGATCTCAAGGTGGTGAGTTGGAGCCCCCAGCTGGGTGTAGAAATTGCTTCAAATCTTATAAAAATATTGTGACATGCAGTACACATGTGTTTTCGTGTTACCAGAAATTCACTTTCTCACATAACTGATAAAAAGCATTTAAACCGACAACTTTAATACCTCTAAGAATGTTATCACCTAATCATTTCTCCACTCTTGACTTTTTCTAAGTATAATATTAAGGTACCTTAAAAGGTCCGAGAGAGAGAGAGAAAAAGAAGGTCCAAGAGAGGTGATATGGTAATATAGTGTGGTGAAAAAAGATACCAAATTAGGAATCCATATTTGGATCCATTGCTAGATTGTGAGCTCCTGGAAGACAGGAACTAAATTGTCATCTTTTTTTTTTTTTTTTTTTTAAGTAATCTCTGCACCCAAGGTGGCGCTCAAAGTCATGACCCCGAGATCAAGAGCCACATGCTCTACCGACAGAGCCAACCAGGCACCCCAATGCCAAACTTAATTTTTAAGGCAAACATAAATTCACTATTAGATGACTAGGAAGAGAATAAATTCAGGTAGTTTATTTACTTTTATCTTTCCAAACTCCATAAGGAAAAAAGTGTATCTTTCCTAGTGAGCAACAAAAGAAAAAGTATTCGGAGATACAGTTTTCTATCTGGGAAATTAACGTGTTTAAAACACATAAAAGCTAATAATTACTAGATCGTGACAAAAGTCACATCCTCACAAGGACCCAGAAATCCCTTGTCTGCAATTCTGAAATCCAAAAAGCTCTGGAAACTAAAAATTTTGTTTTGTAGTTTTAGTAACTTATTTGATAGTCTAATTGATCTAACCTAAACTTACTTGGCCGTAGTATCTGACCTGAACTGAATGAGGCTATTTACTGGCATTCCTTTACCCCGTATCAATAATCATGTGGCTTGCGGCAAAAAATATTACTGTATTTGAATATGCAGTGTTTCCCCCGAACTCCCTGGGACGTTACAGAAGTGACAGTGTATGGCATTCGGTTTTACTCAAGTAAGGCAGGCAACGCCAGGTCTTTTCCTGGTTGCATTACAAACAGAAATTTAGAACCCCATTCTAGCCTCTAAGGGCATGCACCCAGACCCAATTCGGTCTTTCCCGGGTGCCATCTTGAGCAGTGAGCTGAGCCTGTGCTAACAGGTCTGAGAGCCTTCCTGTCGTGACATCAATGGGAAACAAATGTGTTTCAGCGCTCTTAGAGAAGAAAGTCAATGTTTTCACTTTGGTGGTCAATGACCCGTTAAGAAAGACCACCTTGGTCTGTGAAAAAATACTTTTCTATTTTCATCGCTGGACATTGGGCAATCGAGGGTCAGAATGGAGCTACTAGCTCTTAGCTTTGCAACGGTCTCTGTTCAATACATATTTACCACTTGACTGATGCACACCTTGGCCAGTCTGTAAGAATTTCTCTCACGTTAAGTGTGGGTGGCAACAAATATTCGGAGAGAAAGAGTAACTGGAGGCCTTACGTCGGCGCAGCTCCAGCAACAAATCCATCATTACTCCATGAAACTGGCACACTCCCCAAGTAGCTCTCATGGACCCCACCCTCCGGCCGGCAGGGTCGTATCTAGGGATCTCAATTAGAAACCTTGTAGTACCTAGGGCAGGTTATTTCCGAAACGCTAGAGGTGATGGACTTGCCTATGTCCTAGAGGTGGTGGGATATCCTGGGCTTGGATACCTTAAGACGACGTAAATGCTGATGACACAATGCCAGCGTCTCCCGACAGCATTTCCTCACAAGG